TGAAAATATCTGAGAGTAAGGAATAGGATAACACTTTTCCCTCAACCAATCTTATGTTCTTTCTGTCTTATTCTCAAAAAAAGAAAGAAAGAAGAGTTTGTTTTATCAGTTTGCTCATTTTTGTAAGCATTTATAATACTATCCCTAATGCAAAATTAAACCTTTTACCAAATTTGAGTTAAAAAAAGTAAAAAAAGATTGATATAATATGAACCTCTCCAATGAAAAACTAAAAATTAGAGGAAAACAAACTCAAATTTAAATGAGGATAAACCTAAATTTCAAATAGAATATAACCATTAGATCTTAAAAGAAGAATAAAATCTAACCATTGGTGATTTAAATAAACGTTTCAATTTTCCTGTAAAAATTTGAATCTTATTTGATTTGGTTGGGTATAACATTGGAGAAGAGTTTTTTTTACCAAAATTTAAAATTTGAGTATTAAATTTGAGATGCTGTAATAACAATCAAGAAATAATGATCAACCTAAAATTTAGAAAAACAGATGGGCATGATAATGAAAGGAGTTGGGTTAGGCCACCTTGAAAGGAACATATTCCACCTGGACCAGCTGATCATAATGTACATTTTTCAATGTGCGCTCCTCTATCCAAGACATTGTCTACATTATACAAATATATATATACTAGTCATAATTCTTGTTTGAAGGCACGATAAAATATAAAATTCGAACATCTAAAAAATTGATTCTATTATATTAATTTTTTTAAAAATATATTAATTACAAATTAATTAAATGTATGATAGAAATAAATGATGTGATATTTTTATGGAAGAAATATATAAATGATTAAACATATGACAACAAGAAGTGATGTAATTGGACGTTTGAGTCTGAAAAAGAGACGATGAGTGAGGTAAAAGATTGATGATAATTTTGAGGGGAAAAATATGACTGAGATAAAATTCAAACGCACTCCTGTTTTATTATATATATATATATATATATATATATAGAGAGAGAGAGAGAGAGAGAGAGAGAGAGAGAGAGAGAGAGAGAGAGAGAGAGAGAGAGAGAGAGAGAGAGAGAGAGAGAGAGAGAGAGAGAGCTGTGAATGTTAAGGGGATAATTTGATGGCATGTAGGTTTGTGTTTCTTGAGAGACTTCAATTATAGTTTTATGGGTTATGGGTCAGCTTCTCAATGCCTCTGGCTCACAATTTTTTTTCATTCCTTGTTTTTGTTTGAAAAAATGTCATTTCTTTTTTCGTATCATCTCAGCTCTATCTTTTTCTATGATATTGGTCTGTATGTTGATTGCTTTTTTAGGTTCCTTTCTTCCATTTATTTCATTGTAGGACAACTATCACATGCATGTGCCTATCTGCATGCTTTCTCCTTCTCCTGAAAATCCATCTGTTACTTTGTTTCATCAACCTTTTAAGTTTGTTTACTTTAAATTGTTAAGAAGAAATTTCATGCCAAAATTTGAATTTTTCTCCTTGAAATTCATGTAATCCCGGAGTCGTTGCTATGACTGCTTGTTGCTTGTACTCTTTTTTTATTTTCTTTAGTATCTTGTTTAGACTAGAGTCGTTTATGCAATCCCTGAGTTTTCATGCCAAAATTTGAATTTTTCTTTTTGAAATTCATTTAATCCTGGAGTACTCCAATGGATGTTTTATACTTTTATTATCTGCATTATTTCTCAAACCCCATGGTTCTTTCCATTTCCAGATTGGTATTGCTTTGTTCTTTTTCCTGTCCATGGTTGTTACTTTCGTTGATAGTTACCCCCTTGTTCATTGTGTTATTTTTTCAAGTTTTTCTTTTCTGTTTCTGTTAATATTAAAAAGAAAACGTTTCATGTAGTTTCATATTTCACGTGATTCTGTTTAGCCGTTAGTTGGAAGCTTGTAAAGTACTAATTGGAAGCTTTCAAAGGGCTGTTTTGTGAAGTCTCCTGAGGGAGTTGTTTCTCAGAAAGCTATTCAAATGGGTAACTCATTCCACTTGCAAATTTGTGTGGTGGGTTTTCTCTGTGGAGTTTGTCTCACCACATTGTTTCTAGCTCCTCTTACTTCATTTGAGACTTTTGAGTATGGTGGGATTTTATTTTCAACCTTTTCAACTGGAATTTCCAAGTCGAATTCGAGTTCAAAACTTACAAGTAAGTGGTATTTCCACTCGTGTTCTGTCAAATTTCCTTGTTATGAGTGTTTCTATTTTGTTACATATATTAAAACATCGATATCTTTTTTTTTTTTTCCTGATATTTAAATGTGCAACTCGTTGTCGATTTAATTGTTTCTTCTCACTTTTTTTTTTGGGGGCACGTATGGTTAACATTTACCTTCTCTATTGGATGTTGTTTGCCTGTGGTTGTTCCATAAAACATAGTTCTTTACCTTCATTTTCTTTGATTGCTCTAAGATCATATTTATAACCGACAATATTGGGCTGAATTTTTTTTTGAAGAAAAATAGGAAAATATAATCTTTTTAATAACATATTCGAAAGGAGATGTTTTGATTGTTGAGTTTTACAAAAAAGAAAAATTAAGTTCTGCTACATTTGACCTGAAATTTCTGAAATACTTTAGCCAAAGAGGGGAACTTCTACGGTACCGCCGACGGTATTGACATCAAAAATTATAATTTTTTAAGCTTAAGGTATAACTTTTTTGAGGTATAAGTTATAATTTTAAAGGTCATAATCGATTATGGAATGTTGGGATTGATACTAAAATTTTCTTGAACGATCATAGTGTTTGTGATCGATCATAATCTTCTCTTAAAAAATTATAATTTTATCATAAAAACTAATAAGTAAAAATGCCGATACCAAAAAGATATCCAGTGTAAAATGGGCTTCGTCATTCGATTTCGGAGATAAAATCGATTCTAGTGAGATTCTTGTGTCATATCAAAAATCAGTGACACACATGGATGGCAGACCAAGGGGATTTCACAACAACCATAAAGTTGCTGCTCATGTGATCCTGGAGGAGATTCAAGTTCTTGACACGATATTTGAAAAAGTTTTTTTTTGATAACGATTTATCTTCTCAACAGTTAGAAGTTGATTGAGAATTACACCCTGATGTTTGATGAATATCCATGGGCCCAAAGTGATATTTTTAAATATTAATATTTTTCATTTAAAATTAATTTTACTTACTTTTTGAGTTGCAAAAATATTAATTAAGTTTTTATATTCAAGTTTTGATACTATACCTTTTCAATTGATGGTATCGCTAATTCAGTTAATATTTCTTGTGACATAGTTGATCTTAAGTAAGATTTTATCAATTTTAATTTTGAAAAACCTCTTTCCGCAGAAGCAACTGTTACAAAAATTGCTTGCTTTTTAATATTCTATAAGCAATACATGCATTTGAAAAAGAATCTAACTTTTTTATATAATTTAGTATCTCAATTGGAGTAATCTTTTCCATTTGTAAATTTTTTTTAAAACATTTAGTTCTAAAAATAAATCTAAGCCGTTAATATCGAAAAAATTTTCGTGTTTCAAGAAACATTCGAGACCCAAACAATATTGTTTCAAATTATCATTGGTTAATGATAATATCATTGGCCGTATTATTAATATATTATAACTATATAACAACAAAACAAACACAATATATAATATAGTTAAAATATATAACAAAAACAATTAAAATTATGAAACAATAGAATTTGACTTGAATGATCTCAAATGTTGATTTTTTGGTTCTAAACCATGTCCCTTATGTTGCAATGAAAATTCGAGTTGATGATAGAGGATGGAGTGGAGGCTGAGTCACCGTCTTGGCATCTCACCGTTGTATGTGATCTTTTAGCTCAGCCATTTTTTGATTTTTTTTAATTTGATATGACCTTTTAGTTCAGCCATTTTTTTTTAATACTGTTAATCTTTTTTAGATATTTAATATTTGGATTGAATTATGGGCCTAAATGATTGATGGAACTTATATTTTTATATTACCTTTTTTACGTGGGTTGTTTACAGTGTTTAAGACATTCTTTTGAAATGGGGCCTAAAGCCCGTGCTTTTTTAAACATGCTGTTGAGCCGCCCTGAGGAGGTGATTCTCAAACTCTTATTAAAGATAATTATCACATTCCAATATATGATAAATTTTCCGAAAATTTTAAACTTAGTCCTGCAAAAATTGTTAATAACATCAAGTCCCATTTTCAAGGACGAAACCAATATTTTACCCTGAGGGGACCAAACAACAAAATAAATAAGGATTTTATTTAACGTAGATCTTCTATGAGCTATTTTAGCAATAGAATTTCTAGTTATACAAAATTTACTTTCATACAACAACCTCTTTGAAATTATTATGGATCATAAAATACAAAATTTGGTTTGTAAAATTAGTTTGTGAATATTTCACCGTCCTCTTATTTCCTTACTTATGATTTTATTAACGATAGTAGTAGCTATGAATAATTTATCTTTACAACAAATAATTTCACCCGATACCATAATAAAAATGAATTATGAGTTATTGTAGTGCTTCTAATGTAAATCACATTTCTATCTCGATTTTATAAAAATTTTACTTGTTTTGTTCCTTTGGTCTTCAAATTTTTTTAACCCAGTGGCTTCCCCTGAAAGAGCAATAATAATCTATGTGATTTTATTAACGATTGTGTTAATAAATATCAAGCCTTCAATCTTTTTGAACATATTAAGTGAAATAATATACTCTATACATTTGAAAACCTATGGGGGAGCAATAGAACTTTCTCAAAATTAATGGGGGGCTATAGAAATTTTTAAAAATGTGGCCTATTATTCAGTTCCGCCTCTGCCCATGTTAACGATGTTGTTGTCGTCGTTGGTAATATGAAAACCCATGAATGCTAGGATGGGATGACTTGATTAGAAGGGAGTACGGGCTTTATGCCTGGAAAGCATGTAAAGAGTTTTATGAAAAAGTTTTCTACGTTGCTTTGGCTGGCAAAGGAAAGGAATTTGCATGAGTTTATGGTTGGACCCCAAAAACTAACCTGTAACGAAATGCAGTTTTTTTTCAAAGAGTATCAAGGGTTTTTTTTCAAAGAATATCAAGAGCCTGATGAAAAGCAAAGAAAGCAGTTGAATGGTGAGTCAGGTTTACAAGTATTGGAAAACGAAATTTGGATCCTAAATATTTGCACCGTCGATCGAAATACTATTGCAATTTTAAACGAAGATGTGGACAAAGGTTTGATTTTCAGGATATATAAGGGAGTAGAACTTTGGGATGGTCGGAAGTCTAAATTCATAAGAAGATTTATCTACGAAGAGAATTCATGGGCGAATTCTTTTCAACTTAGGGGTGGGTGTCTCAAATTTTGGAATTTTATTTGAACGTGATCAATGACGTTCAATTATGAAATTCTAAAAGATTTTATTTATTTTAATTATCCCTTTTCGTTCATTATACACACATTTCTACCCGCTTCCCCGCATCACATTCTAATCCGTGCGTGGATTTGGAGAAAATACAAAAAAAAAAAAGTAATGAAGATAAACTGGAAGAATGGATTAGTTCAGGAAGTACTATTTACCTCAACATTGTTATTGGAACATAGCCAGAATTTATTATCCTTAGAAATACTATTCAAAATGAAAGATAAGAGTGAGAAAAGGGTGGTTTTGTAACTCCATAAGTATGAATTTATTATTTTTAATTTTGGTTTCTTTCGTAGTATTTTGAATTTCACCAGAACTTGTTGGATCGGTCTGGATAAGTGCCTTCACTTAATGTCTCACTCTGTCTGCAAAAGAATTCCTAATTTTGCCAGACTTCCCTGCTTTAATGCATAAATCAATGTTGAAATAAATCTTTATGAATGTGCAAACCAAAAGAATTGACTTGGCTGCTTTGTGCACTTTACATTGCTCTAGGCTAGTTAGGTTATGTCTAGTAGGCAGACTACATCCAATGCTAAAATATATTGACTTCTTGTAGCAGCAATTATGAGATAAAACTAGTTTTCAATCTATAAGTTTATTCAGAGTGATATACAGTGGGATGATAAATGCATTCAGGATGGTTTTGCTTCTCAACTGTAAGATGCAGTTATTTTTACTAGAATTCTTGTTATCATTGATTTGAGCTGATGAAGTTTAAATTATCTGTTGGATCAAGTGCATGTGTAGGCTTAAAAGTTACAGCGTTATGTTTGCAGATGTGGTTACCGGTGGCGACTGCAACACAAAGCCAAATGAAATAGAAAGAAGCATCTACTCGCAAATCAGTACAAACTTTAGAGTTGATGAGAAAGTTCCCTTACTTTACTCAGCTTGGAGTGATTTACTAACTGAATCTAAAAATGGGGAAGGCAAGTTCTCACAGAGTGCTGGCTTGGACAGATCAAATGTACCAAAGGCTCCTCACTTGGATAACTGCAAGTTGAGTACTGAATTAAGCCACCGTCTTGAGAATGCGAGCTTCCCTCCACGGACAATCTGGAAGGGAATGTTAAATAACTTCCCTGTATTATCTACTGATGAACAGCTGATATCCTATAGGCATCAAACCACGTCCAAAGGTGTTTATCCACCCTGGGTATGTTTCAGTTATATACCCGAATTGTCATTGTTCGACTCCTAGATGTAATTAGCTAAGAAAGCATCAGCATACTCATATTTAGTTAATGCTTGGTATATCTGTAGCATACATTGCCCAAGACATGCAAAGGGTGCAATTGTAGATTCATGTGCTCTACTATTTCTAATGAGTGTATATCTATACATGTAGAAAGGCAAAACAGGCTTACGACCTGAACTTGGATTTTAACTTGATTACTTGGATTTGCTAAATTATTTCTCAAATTTCCTCTCTGTGTCTATCGCACTCTCAAGTTGCATACACATATAGTTCACATTTGTAGTATCTGCCTCCTCTTGTAGAATAGAAAGTATTTAGATCTGTATCGATTCATGTAACTTCTTTGTACATATGCATGCTATTACCTAGGGAAATTGGCACCATGTAAATTTTTAGTTGCTGAACTACCAGTTTTCTTTGGCTTAAGAATGCTGTACATACTCAAGTTCATTTGGATCTTTGACGACATGGAGCACCACTCCCTATAACCCACTAACCATTGCTTGATTTAATGGCTAAACATCAAATACCCATATTTTCTTTATTGCTAATCAGGTGATCTATTACATTGATATAACGCTAAATTTGTAGGTGTCCTCCCAAGAGCACTGTTCTTCCATCTTTTCAGACAACTAGTTAAATCTGTCACTTTCATTTATGTGAAGATATCGACTATCGACTCTGCTTAAAGTAAGTTCAATTCAAGATAAATTTAATTCAGTGCCCTGCTATTGCATTTCGAACTGGTACCTTTAAATTCCACATTAACATATCAGATGATGCATTCCTTGTTTTAAACATACTAAACTGGTTAGTTGAACATACATAAATAGAGGCAGAATAATTGTCTAAATTGTAATGCATATGATTGTTGTGAACTGATCCCATTGACTAAGTGCCAGTTTTATCGGTGTGAACGTCTTCTGAATTTTTTTTGTTGCATTTTCTGTGAACCATTTTAAAGTGTTAGGGTGTGTGTGTGTGTGATGATTATAGCCCTCAAGTTTTACAAATTTAAGAGCTGTCACAGATCACGGGATCAGATGAAGAAAATTATCCCTCTACCAGAAAAGTGCAACGCGACATTTGGTTTCATCATCATCCCTTGAACTGCAGCGATCCTAGTGTTATATTTCTAGTAGCTGATTGGGAGAGATTGCCCAGATTTGGTATGGACGCCCAGTTTGCTGGAATGTGTGGTCTTCTTGCTATTGCAATGAATGAGAACAGAGCACTTGTTACAAACTACTACAATAGGGCTGACCATGATGCTTGTGAAGGTACAACAACATACCAGTAGTACATGTACATAAATTTACCTGTGACATATTCTGGCAGTAGACACTACAATGTTCCTTGTACTTGAAGAAGGGCATAAGTGCAATATCATTGCTCAAAAGTAACAAGGCTCTATCATATTAGAGCATTAAAACCAGTTAACAATGAATGAAGGCCCAACTTTAAACTAACACAAACTCTCTTACACCCTCCCTTACATATAACCTAAGCTCGCACGTCCCTTAAAAACATATTAGTAAATTCAAATGGGCGAGAGGCTTCTCCACTGACCCTCAAGGCCCAACTTTGATACCACGGTGCTACAAAATCCATTATTTGTTTTAATGACTGGATTCAATTCAGAGACCATGCATGTTCCTAATTATATTATGTGACTTGTAGATATCCACCTTATTGAAAATTTTTCAATATTGAAAGATGTTTATTTCTTTACTTGTGTTGTGTCTTAATAGGTCCATCACGCTCTAGTTGGTCTTGCTACTTCTTTCCAGAAACATCTGATGAATGCCATCAGCAGCCATTTGAGCTTTTGCAGAAAAAGGAAGCATGGGAAAAGGGAATTATAACAGGAAATGACAATTATACTTCAAAAGAGATATGGGATGGGCCAACTCCTAGGCAAGCTGTTGTTACAGGTTAGTTCTTTATGCATACAGAGGCTGATTATTTCATCTCTTTCGGGAGAGATCTTAGTGAGAATATTTTGTAAAAATTCTTGTATTTTATTTTCAGAGAGAAATAGAGATATCTTCTTTGTTTATATCTTGTTTGTGGTATTTTTCTGGCCCTGGGTAACCAACAAGTGATATCAAAGCTTTGGTTGGGTCGCCGAAATTTTTTTCAACTCACTGTTTTTGGTTCGTACGGATTCTAAACAAACTTGAAATCAAATTCTGAGCCCACCATTAGATTCCTCTCGTCGAAATGAGTTGGACCCCATTGGCCTTACATCAATCCAACATCGTACGCACTCTCACGGTCCTCACCGGAACATTCACTGGCAACTGGAGTTACTGTTGGAGCTCACTGGAGATCATCGAAGTTGCTGCTAGAAGTTCCTAGGAAAAGTTCATCGGACTGGTGATCGGAGCAAGGTTGAAGACGACGAAATATTCCACTCTGTCAAAGCATATTCCATTCAGAGAATATTTCCAAAGCATATTCCATCTAGGGAATATTCTGTTACCGTTAACATATTTCGTCAAGTTTAACAGAATATTCCGTTAAGTTACCAAAAATTTTTCGAGTCATTTCTGAACTCATTTTAGCTCCATTTTTTTGTAAACTAGGACTCTTTTCTAGCTATTTCAATCGTTCTGGACGCAACGGTGCACTTCCTTTTGCAAAATTCAATCTCAATTTTTTTGATCGAGACATTTAGAGCCTAAAACTCAAAAATGTCCACAGAGGATTCAACATTGGGAGCCATGATCAAACTCATTGCCTCTAATTATACACTTTGAAGACCTCAAATGGAAGATCTTCTAAGCTGTAAATCCTTGTACAATCCCTTGGAGGTAGAAGGTGTAAATCCAGATCCGACAAAAGAAACGGAGTGGAAGAAACTGAACATAAAAATTATCGGTCAAATCAGGCAATGGATTGACCACAGTGTATTCCACTATGTTGCACAAGAGACTGATGCACATGTCCTATGGAAGAAGCTGGAAGACATGTACCAGGCCAAGACTGCTCGAAATAAAGCCCTTTTGATGAGACAGTTTGTGAATCTGAAGTTAAAAAGTGGAACTTCAATTGCCGAGTACACTAGTGAGTTCCAGAGTTTGATAAATCAATTATCATCGATAGAGTTGAATCTGGGGGATGAAGTACAAGCTCTTTTGCTTCTCAATTCTCTACCAGACAGCTGGGAAACGTTGATAGTCTCTCTCAGCAATTTGGCTCCAGGAGGCAAACTTACCATGTCAATGGTTAAGGATGCCTTGTTCAATGAGGAGGCCAGAAGAAAGGATGTTGGCATTGACTAGTCCAATGCCCTAGTTACTGAGAGTAGAGGCAGACAACAAGGAGGTAGCAGAGGCAAGGGAAAAGGAAATAGTAAGAGTAGAGGAATGTCACAAGATCTATGGAGATCAAATGACGGAGGAAGACCTACATACAAGTGTTACCATTGTGGCTTGCATGGCCACATGAAGAAAAACTGCCACAAGTTGCTACAAGAGCAAAGCCGAGGCAGTAATCAGTCGAAGACACAAGACGGAGAAATGCTAGTCACTCTTTCAGAGGATGTGGCCATTCTTTCTATCAATGAGGAGACATACCTTCATTTTTTAAACCATGACGCTGAGTGGGTGATAGATACTGCAGCTTCATATCATGCCACTTCTCACAACGATTTATTCTCGTCGTACAAAGTTGGAGACTTTGGTATAGTGAGGATGGGAAACACCAGTTCTTCCAAGATCATTGGAATTGGTGATTTTCATTTAAAAACAAATGTTGGCTATACACTGGTATTGAAGGATGTACAACACGTGCCCGACCTTCGGCTAAATCAACTTTTCGGGATAGCCCTTGACAGACAGGGTAATGATAACCACTTCAGCAATGGCACATGGAAGCTCACGAAAGGTGCCATGGTTGTCGCCCGAGGACATATTTGTGACACATTTTACAAGACCCATGTGAAGGTTTGCTTAGACAGCCTCAATGCAGTTAAAAATGAGGCTTCACCAAATCTGTGGCAACAGAGACTTGGTCACATGGGGGAAAAATGATTGTTTATCTTGGCAAAAAAGAATCTCATCACAATTGTCAAGGATGTTGCACTAAATCCTTGTGATCATTGTTTGTTTGGTAAACAACATCGAGTCTTATTCAGTTCCTCTATGAAAAGGAGATCAGAGTTGTTAAGTCTGGTACACTCTGATGTTTGCGGTCCCCAAGAGGTGTAATCATTGGGCGGCAACAAATATTTTTTAACCTTTATTGATGATGCTTTACGAAAGGTATGAGTGTACTTCCTAAAGACGAAGGACCAAGTACTCGAATGCTTCAAAAGATTCCATGCCATGGTAGAGCAAGAAATAGGAACAAAGCTAAAATGTCTCCGAATAGACAATGGAGGCGAATATACTTCCAGAGAGTTTAAAGCATACTGTGGAAATTATGGTATTAGACATGAGAAGACTGTTCCACACACCCCACAACACAATAGAGTAGTGGAGAGGATGAATCGAACCATTGTGGAAAGAGCCCACTGCATGCTCACCAATGCCATTCTGGGTTGGAGCTGTTCGTGCCGCCTGTTATCTGATAAACAGATCACCGTCAGTACCATTGAATTTTGATATTCCGGAGAAGGTGTGGTCTGGTAGGAATCCCTCCTATTAACACTTAAGCATATTTGGGTGCAAAGCATTTGCGCATGTATCCAAGGAACAAAGACATAAACTTGATGTCAAGACCACTCCGTGCATCTTTATAGGCTATGGAGATGAAGAATTTGAATACAGATTATGGGACCCAAAGGCCAAAAGGATCATCAAAAGCAGAGACGTGGTGTCCATGAAAATTAGGCATATAGGAATTTGAAAATCCCACAAAGTCCAGTATGGTGTACCTCATATAGCTGACGAGCCTCAATCACGAAGATTCGAAAGAGGACGCATTCTGTCGAGTAGATATCTGGAGTCAGACTATATTCTGCTTACTAATGAAGGGGAGCCGAAGAGCATCCAGGAGACACAAGCCCATACGGATAAAGACAAGTGGATGCAAGCCATGCAGGATGAGATGGATTCCCTACAGACAAATCAAACGTATGAGCTTGTGAAACTTCCAAAAGGCAAGAAAGTACTGAGGAATAAATAGGTGTTCAAGCTGAAGAAAGACGGCAGTGGAAAATTGGTGAAGTATAAGGCTCGATTGGTCGTTAAAGGATTCCAACAGAAGAAAGCAATTGACTTTGACTAGATTTTCTCACCAGTTGTTAAAATGACCTCAATTCGAGTCATTCTCGGATTAGTGGCCAGTTTAAACTTGGAGCTTGAATAAATGGACGTGAAAACTTCATTTCTTCATGGAGATCTGAATGAAGAAATCTATATGGAACAACTGGAAGGTTTTGAGCTTTCAAGAAAGAAAAATTTGGTCTGCAAGTTGAAGAAGAGTTTATAAGGCCTCAAGCAAGCACCCAGACAGTGGTATAAGAAATTTGACTCATTCATGGTGGGTCAAGGCTACAAGAGGACTATTGTAGATCAGTGTGTTTACGTTCAGAGATTCTCGGATGGCAATTTCATTGCACTTCTACTTTATGTTGGCAACATGTTAATCGTCGAAAATGATGCAATTACAATTAGCCAGTTGTAGAAGGAACTATCCAAGTCCTTTGACATGAAGGACTTAGGCCCAGCTTAACAGATACTTGGCATGTAGATTATTCGTGATAGGAAAACTAAGAAATTGTGGCAATCACAGGAGAAATACGTTGAACGGGTGATTCAGAGGCTCAACATGGATACTGCCAAGCCAGTCAGTATCCCACTGGCTAATCATTTCAAGCTAAGCAAGAATTCCTGTCCCTCATCAAAGAATGAGATAGAAGATATGACAATGATTCCTTACTCTTCAGCAGTTGGGAGTCTAATGTATGCAATGAGTTATACAAGTCCAGATATTGCTCATGCAGTTGGCATGGTGAACAGATTTCTTTCCAATCCAAGGAAAGAACACTAGGAGGCGGTCAAGTGGATTCTTAGATACCTTAAGGGTACATTGAAGATATGCTTGTGTTATAGAAGAGTTGAACCAATTTTGAAAGGCTATACAGATTCAGATATGACAGTAGATCTTAATGGTAGAAAATCCACATCAGGATTTCTTTACACTTTTGCAGGGGGAGCTGTGTCATGGCAGTCAAGGTTGCAGAAGTGCATAGCTTTATCTACAATAGAGGCAGAGTATATTGCAACAGCGGAATCTGGTAAGGAAATGTTGTGGTTAAATCAGTTACTCCAAGAACTAGGTATTAAGCATAAGGAATACAAGGTGCATTGTGATAGTCAAAGTGCTCTGGACTTGAGCAAGAACTCAATGTACCATTCCCGGACAAAGCATATTAATATTCGCTATCATTGGATACGCGAAGTGATGGAGCAACAATTATTGAAACTAGTGAAGATCCACACAAAGGAGAATCCAGCAGACATGTTGACAAAGGTCGTTACTCGGGAAAAACTTGAGCTGTGCAGAGTCATAGCCGAAATGAATGTTTGATTACATTCTCTTCTGATGGTTCTGGAGGGGGAGATTTGAAGGTTCCAGCTCATTCCAGCTCCATTAGAAAAGCTACCCAGTAGCTAACTCTACCAGTAGCCCATTGTAGTAGCCACTTCTATGGACTGCTAGGAGGGACGACTGAAGCTTTGACAAAGCTTGCCGGACATTTAATTGTGTTCCCTCTTCCTTGACTTATTTGGCCAGAAAAATCCCTATAAATAGGAAGCTTAGTGAAGGTCAGATGTAGAGCTCAAGATCAGTGAGGAAGAAACAAAGAGAGAGAAATTCGGGAGAGATCTCAGTGAGAATATTTTGTAAAAATTCTTGTATTTTATCTCCAGAGAGAAATAGAGATATCCTCTTTGTTTATATCTTGTTTATGGTATTTTTCTGGCC